CTACTATATGATAATTTATATTGATCATTCATATATATACTTTATCTTGTCATATATAATTATTTACTCAAATATTTTTTTATTAATATTGATAATATTTTACAAAATCGTGTACTACATGACTCAGATATACACGTGCACGTGCAGAGAAACTAGTATAATAAAATACATACTAAAATATTGGTCAAACTTCACACTTTCTGAATCTCGAAAAATAGAATGTGCCACAGAGGAATTTACCCGGTTATGGGTTTATCCGAACCCAATAACTTTTGTTCAAATTATGTATTTATCTTTTAAAATTCATTAATTATATACAAAAATTTATTTAGAACCCAGTAACTTAAAGAGCAATTTATGCAAAATACCATTGAGCTTAAAATAATTAACCTTTCCTATCCATTTGAAAACTATTTACAATATATACCTACCTAATTAAAACTAATTACCCCTACCTCCCACCATGACCCATTTAATATCTAGGGGTAGGTATTTAATTTTTTTCCTAATATATTTAAAACTTCTTTCCATTGCTTTTAGGTTATACGAGTCCTTTTTTTCCTCTTATAATTCAAACCTACTAAATTCTAATAATTTGCTGGAACTATAACAATGAGTGTAGTCCTAAGGAAACGATCTTCCGCATCCCTCAAGTACCTAAAGACTAGTAAATAAAAATGAGCAATTTATTCAAAATATTCATTGAGCTTAAAATAGTTACCCTTTCCTATCCATTTGAAAACTATTTATAATATATACCTATCCAATTAAAACTAATTACCCCTACCACCCACCGTGACCCATTTGGCTTAGCTTAGCTTAATTCGACTTGGCTTGATTTAGTAGCTTAGTTTGACTTCATTTGGTTAGCTTTAACTGGGTATTAAAAAAATGGGTAGGAGGCAAACCACATGGGCAGGGACAGGTAAATAGTTTCCCACTGCTGCAAAATTAAATACGATCTCTTTCCATATAAATAGTTTCCCACTGCTGCAAAATTAAATACGATCTCCTTCCATACTTAACAAGCATCAGCTAGTTCCGGGCTCCATTTGCAAGCCTCCTGAGCAAGATCACATCCTTCATTACGAGCTTGTACACATGCTACTAGAGCTATTCGATTAGCTACGGCACCTGGCGCATTACCCCAAGGACGTCCTAAAGTTCCTCCACCGAACTGTAGTACGGAATCATCCCCAAAGATCTCGATCAGAGTAGGCATATGCCAAACGAGAACACCTCTTGAAGCCACGGGTAGAACACCTGGTAAAGAGACCAAATCTTGAGTGAAATAAATAGCGCGACTTCGATCTTGTTCAACAAATTCATAACGCAGTAAATCAACAAAGCCCAAAGATATTTGCAAAAGATCCCCTAACTTAATAGGATTAAAACCCCGAGCTCATAAGCTTAAAATCCTAACTCCGCCTCGCACTCGAGGAGTCTTCATGGGAATCGATTTGATTCGACTCTTTAACTGATATTCGATTGTCAAGAGATAAATGAATATAAAGCTAGCTATGACGTAAAGAGGTATACTAATAGCATCATGACATATTTGTCTAAACAAAACTAGCTAGGATTGGAGCACCTTTTGAAAACTTAAAAAGTAGAAATATTTTTATGGATTCAGCTTACTGAATAATATGACTTTCAAATGTTCTGGTGAATCCCTGTGATAGCATGCTTATGTGGATTAGACGAATTAATGTTGTACAGTGATTCCTCCTTGTTACGTTACAAGTTCTTTCATTCAATCTCCCATAACATTTTTCTGTGAAGTATACTCTCTCAGTTGTTGTAATACATAGTTGGCCAAAAAGCAATACAAAAAGAAGCAAAAGGCCGCTTTTTTTGTATTCCAATCGAAGTGGAATGACAACAGAGTAAAAATCTACTTTCAACGAACTTTGTAACTTTCCTAATACAACAGTGGCTTTTCACGGTACTTTCTGGAAAAGGGATGAGAAAAACTGCCTCTTAAAAAAAATAAAAAATAACTATACGCACGTATTCACAATTTGAGATACCATACATTTTCAAAAAAGAGTTACTAACTTGTTTTTATTGAATGTTCCCAAAGAGATAATTCGAGACAACCAAAGTAGGAAAAAGATGGTAAATTTTAAAATGGTGGTAAATTTATCGTTTGTGCATTCATTCCAAAATCAGATAGAAACACCTGAACAATAATTTGGTGTTTGCATTCCCGCACACTTGCTGAACTTGTGAAGTACATGACAGTCAATACATCCCGTTAATTTGTTGTTTGTGCATTTATTCCAAAATCAGATAGATATGAACATTCAGATCTCATTGCGCCTGGAAAAATGAATAGCACTGCATGAAAAGCCTGTCAACAAGAAGTTAATACTGCACTATATGCAGCACTGAAGCAAAACCAGTTACAACAATTTTTGAAATCAAAGAAATTTTTTTGATAGATGTCAAAGGAAGTACTACATATATTTAAGATAATTTTGTCCAACGTGCCGTTAGGCTGGTTGTGTTAGGATATCTTTGTGACTTGGACGGAAACTGTCTCTTAAGTTGGAAGCGGGTATAGCACAACCACAGTTTCCTTCAGACCCCAATGTCTTTGTGGTCTTTTTTTTGTTGGACAAGGTGTTCGGGCCAGCTTGCGCATACCTCGACTAATTCTACCTACATCTGCATTTATGCAAGCCAAATGATATGAAAAGAAATAAGTTCAAAATGGAACTCCTTACACAACAGCAACTTTGGAGGTGCTATCCCTAGATCAAAAAAAGAACCCGATATCTAAAAGCTATGCTGTTCTTTTTGGTTATCCTTTATCTAAATGATGGCAAAGCAGCAATCATTTGACACTAAAGAGTAATTAGACTTCCATTCTCAATGGCGATGCTTTGAAAAGCAAAATAACAGAAAATTTTTACTCCAACTGTATTGGATAGATATAGGTAGGAATGAAAGCAAACCAAAAACCTACTTCAAGCTTCTAGCATGAGCTGCAGATAATTAAGCACCCTCAATTGTTAAGCAACTGGAAGTTGAAGGATAAAAAATGCAGGGTCTATAGCTCGGTGCTAGATCATCAGGCACTTTACTCACACAAAAAGTCATGCTAGAATTTGAATGCTTACCCTTCAACTCATCTTCTTCTTTGTCAGCCTGCACTTTCAGTCTATACTCCAATGCGCAACCCTAAAATTTCATCAAGTACACATTCTTCATCCAAGCAATTGTAATTTGCAATATCCAGTAAAACTTGCAGACAAGAGGTGTTCAGCATAGTGGTTAGACCGATCTTACCAAATAGTCCACCATCATCTGAACTGGATTTAGAAGGGAAAGGAAAATAGGCCTCAATCATTCACAAAGATTGCTTCAGAACAAATTATGATAGAACGTAACAATGCATAAGAATAACTGGCCTACTGCATAGTACCCCATGAATGGCAAATTGGTTCAGTTATATCATTGACTATTACCAAACCATGAAATAAATTGCATCAAAACAAAATCCTGAAGATAGTCAATACAGGTCAATGTTGTTTACAATTTAACATTTGGAAAGAATCACCAGCAGAAATACGGATTTCAGAGTAGATCTTTCAAGATTGGATTTTGTCATATCCAATTTAACTTGG